TGTAGCTGAGAGGTGTCTCGAGGAAGCGGCAAGTCTGCGTCCGATGAGCAGGCGGTCTGCAACGTGATCGCGAAAAGCTTGCCGGTCTTTTCGCAGCGCAGCCTTGCCCTTCACGGGCTCTATAGAGGCTGCAGGAAACGTGATGCCTAAAAAAGGAGGGAGACATGATACCTGAATGGAATCACGTGGCATTCTTCGTATTTGATCAGCGTAGAATCCTGCATCTCCCAACCAGTCCTGGACACCTGCGTCCGAAGTGCAGCGGTCGGACCAGAAGCGCGCTTGGAACAGGAATGAGAAACCTGAGCGCGGTGCGGTGCCCACGGCCTCCCCAGCTCGGGCAGCTTGATCGACCGCTCGAACGCAGCCGTCTGAGAGAGCCACGCCCTCTTCCCTCCTCGCCCGCCTCCTCCTTCTCCACAATTATTCAATATGAATACTACTCTCCCTCTTCCCCTGATGACGGCTTGAAAGTGTCCGCCCCCCCCCCCCCGCGTATTTTTTTTTTTTTTTTTTTTTTTGCACAGGTTTCCTCGGAGTTGGGTTTTCGCTGGCATTTTTTTCAAAATGCTGCTCTCGCTGAGGTACCGGCCTCATTTTCGGGCCCCGCTCGTTCCGAATCGTGCTCCCGCTGCAGCGCTGGCCTCACTTAGGTGCTTCCGCTCGTTTCGACTCGTGCTCCCGCTGCAGCGCTGGCCTCATTTCCGCGCTTCCGCTCGTTTCGACTCGTGCTCCCGCTGCAGCGCTGGCGTCATTTCCCGCGACATGCCTCGGCATGCAATGCAATGCTAGGTTGATGCTACGCTTTGCGGTGCTCTTCTACGCCATGCCATGCCGTGCTCTACGATGCATCGCGCACCCTTTCGGGATCATTGCCCTGCTCGACATCCGACTGTGCGAGTAGAGAGGGGATCTGCGCCATGCCAAGGGATGGGAGGGAGGGGTAGGACGTCATATATGACGCGAGCGCACCTAGCTTGTCCTCCCCCCTCCCTCCCCTCCCCCTCCTCCTCCTCCTCCTCCTCCTCCTCCTCCTCGTCGTCCTCCTCCTCCTCCTCTCCTCCTCCTCTGCCTCCTCCCCCTCCTCGTCGTCCTCCTCCCCCCCCTCCTCCTCCTCCTCCCCGTCCTCCTCCTCCTCCTCCTCCTCCTCCTCCTCCTCCTCCTCCTCCTCCTCCTCCTCAGTCCCCGCCCATGAGCAGGATGTGAGGCCGTCCGCGGGGGCCCCGGCCCCCTTGGCCCCGTCAGGAACTGCGGCGCGGCGCGGGCGTCGGCGGCTGCGCGGGCGGTCAGGCCCCGCGCTGGCAGGTCCACGGGGGCGCTGCCACCGCTCTTGGGGGTCTTCAACCCGCTGTCCGCGTTGGGGGCCAGGCTCGAGGACATTGCAGACGAGGTCGGGAACTTCGACGCGTTCGCGCTCGTGGGCGCGCAATCCAGAGCCCCCCCTTGCAATTCGCGCGGACTCCAGCCAGATGCGACGAGAGAATTGGTGATGGATCCAGGCGATCAGCTGGCTGCAGGCCCCTGTGGGGCATGCGTTTCTCGGAGCATCGTATCCGACGAGTGTTCCCCGCGCCTGCGCCTCTACAAGGACGTGTCCTGGCGGCGAGATACAAGAATGGCTTGATGGACTTGACGGCGATTTCCATGAATTGCCCACCGCGTCCCAGGACAGCAAAAGCTGGCGGACACTACAGAGAGACCTGCGTGCGCATGACACAATGGCTGGACGGGGTGCTGCTCCATGCGCCGCGTTCTGCGCTGCCGCAGATCTTGACAGATCTCAGCGACGGCATTGGCATCGGCTCTCTGGCTAAGACAGACGATCGGCGAGGCAGTGATCAGCGAGGCCAGCGCGACGAAGGAGTTCACGAAGGGTGTGGGGGAACATCTTCGTGAGGTTCTCAGGAGGCATCGTGTGGCAGTTTACACTGGCAGCTCGGACGCAACCTGGTATGGCGACAAAGGTTAAGCATCTCGCACTGATTCCATGCTGGGACCACTTGCCTGGAAGGACTCATGCCTGAAATGTACTCCCTCGCTGAAACTAGGCAGGCGTCTTCAACTCACTCGGCGTCGTGAGCTGCGAGGTCCTGTCCAGTGCATGCCCGCATTGCATACGACAGATTGGCCACTTGCGACGGTGGGAAACAGGGCGGATGCGAGAGAAGTGGGATCGATATTCATTGGTGCACGCCTTGCGACACGGTGATCTACAGCATGCGTTTCTTGACGAGGCTAAATGACCCCTTGCGCAGCCACGTGGGGGAGTTGGCCCAGCTAGGCCCGCAGAAGACCCCTGACGCCATCTTCGCTTATTTGGAGCAGCGCATGGTTCGGATCGGGCTGGGCTACTTCTTCGCTCCATACTTTGTCGACGAGGCTTGCAAATCTCTCAGAGAGCCACGTCTGGCGGCATTGCGACAGCGCCGCGATTTAAAAGTGGCCACGTGGGCCGCGGGCGCCACCGAGGAGGAGGTCGAGGCGCAGCTCGAAGCTATTTCAAATGCGCGCTGGCGAGTCAGAAGTTGAGTAGACAGCGAACTCGAGCAGCAATCGAAGAGGGGCTCAACCAGCACTGGAGGGCGCGTGGATCCGCGCAGGCGTACCGCGCCATTAAACGACTGGAGCACGCGAGGACGGGCACCGAACGACGGGGCTTTCGAGCTCTTCCCCTTGCGAACCCGACGAGGCACGAGTGGATGGATGCGCTCGAGCTTTCTGGCGTAGGCAGCAGAATGGGCGCAGTCGAGATCGCGCCAAATCCACAAGTACAGGCGGGAGATTTTGAATGTGGGGAAGTTCCAGATGAGTTGCCCAGCGTTCCTGGCCCTTGGCTATATATGACAGAAGATGCGGGCGTTCCCGAGTTCCAAGGTGATCACGCAGCTGGTGCCTTTCTGGAAAGTCAGCCCGATATCAAGAGGTTGAAGTGGTATCTTGTGAATGCGCAAAAAGAGGACCGCAGAGCTGTCTTGAAAAATTCTGAGTCCCCGGCGGACTGCACTGCACAGAGGAGTTGGCGACGCCCTGCAGAATACGGATAGCAGTTATATCGAGGCGCGCCTGCGCGTGGCATTCTAAAACATGCGCTACCATCTGGTCGCGCCGCTGAACTGGCGCGTAAGTGAGTGTTGCGCTGCGCGAGCGAACGAGCAACCAGGACCTAAATGGCGACCCTCGTTGCGCAATCTCCGTGTCTTGGGGCGAATGTTTCTTCGCCAGCTGCCCGGGGGCGTGTCGCCCAGGGCCCCTCTCTGCAGGGCGTCGTGGTAGCGCGGCGGGGCGGCGTAGAGAGACCGCAATCATGGCTGCGATGGTCGGTGGGCTGGCAGTGTATGGAGCAGGCGGCAGCAGTATTGGTGAGGGCGACTGGCTCGTCAACGAATGCGGAGGGCGCAGGTGCTACTTCCAGCAGCTGAGGGCATGCCCCACTTCAGGCCGACGGAAGGAGGCCTCATGGGGGGCGCATTCATGGTGCACTGCCCCCCCCCCCCCCGTGCCTTTGCCGGCGCCGCTGGGCCATGGGCGACGCAGTGGCGTCAGCAGGACAACGCGGACATAGTGCTGACGGCGTCAACGAGAAGATATTGCAGCGCCCGGCCGCGCTCGAGGAGGGCGTTAATTTGGACTTAGTTGCGTGGCGGGCCCCAGGGCTGCGGCGAGCTCTTGGATGAACAGCTGCTCAAGATCGGTCTGGTTCAAAACAGAACCAAGCAGATCCACGCCGCGGCGACGCGTGGAAGTGGAAGTGGCATGGCGAGAATGGGGTTTACGGCAACGGGGGCAACGCGACAAGTGGGGCGGACAGGTAGTGGACCAGGCGCGCTACCTGGGCCCTATTCTCACACATGTCCAAAGCTTCGGCGTCGAGTTGGCGAAGCGAGTGCAGGCAGGCAGAGCGGCGCTTTACTCGATGGGGTCTTTCTGGAGCGCCAAGCGCATGTCGTGGAGGTGGGGGGGGGGGGGGGGCCGTGCTGATTGGACGAGTGGTCAATGCTGCGCTCGCGGCTGTGGAGGCTTTCGTTCCCACGAGGAGGCCGTGCGACTCGCTCGACGGGGCGGTTGCTTCTTTGGCGCGCATTGCTATGGAAGGGGCGCAGCCTGTGCGCGCAACGAGGAGGGTGGCGCGGCGCGGTCGCTCGCGAACGAAGAGGTTTTGGCGCGCTGGCAGATGCCGAGGTCTGAAGTCGAGCTGCGGGTGAGGGGGCTGGAGCGGCTGCGGCAGGCGGCCAAGGACAGGGGCGACAGTGCCCAGTTCTTCGGGGCCCTTTTCGGCGCCGTCTGCGGTCAGCAGCAGGGCGCGGCGGCCGAGGGCGACCCCCTCTCTGTGCTGGCCCATCTTTGGGCACAGCGGGTTCAGCAAGACGTCGACTCGCTCATTGGGGTCTCGGGCGAGGTTGTGGCACTGCGAGAGCTCCCTGGCCCGCGCGTCGTGGCCCGGCTAAAAGATCCGCAAATGCGAGGCGAATTCTGCAACATAGATGTGAACATTCTCAGAGCAAACGAATTCAGAACAAAAAACGCACCGCCCCCAACATGCAGACTCCTGGGCCCGACGAAAAACGACGAAAGGTGAGGGGGGGTTATTCGCGAGGTGGAGGAGGCGTTTATGTGTCAGGCGGAAGTGAGTGGGGGATCGCGTGGTCGAGTGTTCCATTCGAAACGGGCCCTGCGTGCGCGCGTTCGGCAAGTGCGCAGCATGGTCAACATTAGCTCGTTTCTTAACCCGACCAACGTCTGCATCGTGTGTGAAACGGTCTTCGCCTCGGAGGTCACTGCGCGTCGGCGCTTAGCGCGAGCTACTCAAAGAGGCCATTGTGTAGTTGATCTCGCTCGAGCACTCGTCCCCGCGCAGGGGGCCAAATCACTCCAGTGTCCTTGGTGCGAATGCGTGGCTGGATCTTGGCTCGGGCTTCGAGGGCATCTCGCTCGCCACCTGCTCTTTCTTCTTGATATTCGCGCGCCCGCCGACGTGGGCGTGAACGTTCCGCGTGGCCGAGGGCGCCGAGATAGTGAACGACGGCGGACCGACGTGGATAAAGGGGGCGGGCATTGCGGACGTAGCTTGGGGCCCTCCGAGAAAGCAGCGCCCGGCGGGCGGAGCAGAAGCCGCGGGCCCTAGGAAGCAGAAGGCACCGGAGCTGCTCGAGCAGGCCAAAGGAGCGGCAGGAACAGGCGCCGCCAAACCACGACTCGTTCAGCAGCTCACGCTCCTCTTCGCAATGCTCGCGCTCAGCATGGCGGGAGGTTTCAGGTCGGTCATCGGCGTCGTCTTCGTCGCAGCGATCACCCCGGCGGCTGCCCCGCGCATCGAGGCGGCCATTCAAGCGGGCAAGAACTACCGCGAAGCCGCGATGGAGCTCGAGGAGAAAGCCGAGGGCGACGCAGTAGACGCGGCGGCGTTGGGGGGCCCGCATCTTCGCGCGTGGCAGGATTTCGCCGGGGCGCTCTCTGCGGGCGCCGAGGCCGGCCAGGCGCGCGCCGCGCTCGCGAAGTAGGGCCGAGAACATCATGAAGTACGAGCTCGAGGATTCGGCGGCGGACATCAAGTGCGTCCGCGCGCGCGTGCCGCTGGGCAAGGGGGCCGAGAAGAAGTCGGAGCGCGCGGGGGGCAAGGCGCGGCTGCAGCGGGCGCTCACCACGACCGCGATCGCGCGGGAGCTCGACGGCGCCATTCGCTCGGGGATCGCGAGGCGCGGAGGGTGGATCCTGATCGGCGCTGCCCCGCGCGGGGTTTTGGAGAAGGGCGCGCGAGCGCTCTTGAGCAAGCTGGAGCCCAAGTAGGCGAGGTCGAAATGAGGAGGCTGAGGAGTTTAGCTGATAGTGAGAGGCTGAATCAGCTCGTCTCCAGAGGCGTGGTGAGCAGAGGGTTTGTCCTCGCCTCCTTCGTCTAGTCCCTCTCTGAATCTGCTCCGGAGGATCCCGGTTTGCCGTTTTATCCGAACCGCGAAAATTCAGCCGCGTCCGAAGGGGCGGGGCAAGGGTTAAGGTAGGGGGAGACAAAAACGCCCCCCTGAGCACGGGGGAGGCTTGGGGCTAGCCCAGTGGCGTGGGATGCCGTTGGGGGCCCGTCGCTGTTGAGTGCGGAGCGGGTTTTCTCCAGTTTCTCTGGTTAACAGACGCGTGGGCCGCCCTCCTAGCGCCCTGTGTTCACACCTCTTGGTTTGCCTGGGGGCCCGATTGTTCTTCCACCATCGCCAGTGCGTAGCCGCCCAGCGAATTCCAAGGTTGAAGCGTGACTATTCGTATCTTCGTTCGCCCGGGGATGTCAGTCAGTCAGTCCGCTCTTCCTCCTCTTCCTCTTCCTCCTCTTCCTCCTCCCCCTCTTCCTCCTCCTCCTCTTCCCTCGCCGCCCTCGCTTCCTTTTCGCCTTCGTGCCTCGTTTCGCCCCCGGTGCACCCCGCTGCCTGCTCACTGGCGTCTGACTGTCTCGGACCATTCGACGCCCGCGGATTGAAACAGAGACAGAGAGAGAGAGAGAAAACCACGCTTCCTTGGACTACTTGATGATGTGCGCGCCTGCCGCACGCCAGCGTGGGTCAGTGTCTAAGATGGCAGAGGTCGTGAGCGAGCGGCGCTCGGCAGTGGGGCGCACAGTGCTGAACAGCTGTCGGTGGAGCCAGAGGAGGTCATGATCCGACGTTCCTGTGACTGCGCTTTTACAAGTGACTCCAGCAAGCGGACCTGCAGAAACAACTCGGACGATGGTGCCTCTCCTCGGCACCATATTCTGCCGTCGCAATCGGGATGCCTTGCGACTGGATGAATCGATCGTAGCTTCCAACTTGGCCAATCCCCCCTGAACTGAACTCTCAGCGCACGGCCAGCAGTGCAATCCACACCTAGGTTGATGGCCGAGGGGAAGCATACACCACTAAGATCAGCTAGTTGCGTAGTGATCCGCGTGCCTGTGTACCTGGAGGAGGTCACCAGGCATGCCTTGGCGAACGCGAAGCTACAATCTAACACATCCTCCACAATCAGGCACAGGGTCTTCGCATCGGCAGCGATGCTGGCAATGACCGTCTCAGTGGGCCCCGTAAAAAGGTACAGCCTGACCATATATCTAGACATCTAGGTCAAGAGAGGGTTGAGGGATCAGACGGTCAAAGCTTTCATACCGTGCGCTCGACTGAAAGTGGTGGCTAGCGAGCTGCCCGCTATCACTTCTCGCTGAAGATAAACGAGGCGTTCATTCCAGGCCTTCATTCCCGCTGTCCAAGCGAGAGAGGGCCAGGCGTGCCAATACTCGCGGGAAACCATAACGATAGCATCTGGACCCTGACTCAACAAACTAATTTTGTTTGCAGCACTTGTGCAAACCGAAAACATGTCTGCTCTGTCCAGCAATCGTCCCATCTTCAGCCTTGACCACCTGCCTCCAGGTCACGTCCGCTGCTCCCCGATGCTGTCCAGCGGCCCAGTACCTCCTGGGGCGTTGCCGTTCCCAGTTCGTGGCAAGGGGCGGCTTGAGGCGGCCCCAAACCTTGCACCAGGAGCAGGACACCCCAATCGGTTTGTAAGCCCCAGGCGGCTTCGAGAGCAACGCCAACAACGAAACCGGAAGGGAGGAGGGGGAGGTGTGAGGATGGGGAAGGGGGAGGAGGAGGAGGAGGAGGAGGAGGAGGAAGAGGAGGAGGAGAGGGAGGAGGAGGAGGAGGGGGAGGAGGAGGAGGAGGAGGAGGAGGAGAGGAGGAGGAGGAGGGTGATGAGGAGAGATGATGATGAGGAGGAGGAGGAGGAGAGAGGAAGAGGAGAGGAGGAAGAGGTGAGGAGGAGGAGGAGGAAGAGGAGGAGGAGGAGGGAGGAGAGGAGGAAGAGGAGGAGGAGGAGGCGGAGGAGGCGGTGGAGGCGGAGGAGGAGGAGGAGGCGGAGGAGGATGAGCAGGATGATGATGATGATGATGATGAAGAGGAGGAGGAGGACGAGGACGAGGAGGAGGAGTAGGAGGAGGAGGAGGAGGAGGAGGAGAAGGAACAGGAGGAGGAGGAGGAGGAGGAGGTACCTCAGCTCTCTGGCACTTCCTTGGGTTATTGGTTGTGATGCCAATATGAGTCCTGGGACGTCTGGGCTGGAGGAATGGTGTCATAGGCTCGGGGCTACGGTGGTTTCTCCTGGGAAGAAGACTTGTGCTGCGGGATCTGGACAGGAATATGATTATTTTATTGTGTCTGCTGGTCTGCCCTCTTGTGTCAACTCCATTAAGGTATGGAGTGAGGCACCCTGCTCGCCGCACTCCCCAGTGGAACTTACTCTACGCGGAGTAAGCCTTGCGATACCTGTTCATGTCAGAGTAAAGTGGAAAGAGTTCCCCACAAAGCCTCAGACGGGATGCCTTCGTGAGCCTCTACAGTTGCCCTGGGCCTGGAGCACTGGGGACACGGTGGACCTGGACCTGGAGGTGGTTTGGGACCAATGGGTTCAGAATGTTGAAAGGGAACTTTGCCACATCTTTGACATCACGGGGGAGGAGATGGAGGAGTACACTGGACGGACCAAGGGTTTCGGGAGGAAGCAGGTTTCCCTGGACACGGTCTTGAAATGTAAGTGGTTTGCTCACAGTACTCCTCGCCTTCGTGCCTGGCGAGCTCTAGATGCACTTCTTGTCAAGGCTGCAGCATGTGCAGAGAACCTGGAGGGATCTGCTATGTGGCCTTCGTTGCGTGCGTCCATCCTTGGCCTGAGCTTGGACAAGTTAGGTGCCAAGTCCCATTGTCTGGCCCCTAGCCTTCCTGAACTGATTCGCAAGATCGAGGACTCTGGGGGTATCGAGATCGGTTACCTGGGGCCTGCTTGCAAGTTGACCTATGAGAAGATGCTCAGAGATCACACGGCGAAGAGATGGTCGGATTGGAAGGCTTGGGCCCAGGATGCTGTGTCTGTTAAGGCTGGCAAGGCCGCGCATGCGTATTCTAAGGTAGAAGGCTCCTGCGCAGGGGCCGCGTGCTGCTGAGGGATGGGCTCTCCAAGGGGACAATGCCATTGCCGCCCTGCAGGAGGAATGGGGGACGTATTTGCTCTCTCATGATTGTCCTCTCTCGCCAGCACAGCATGCGGAGGCAGATGCAGAGCCTCCTCTTTGTCAGGCCTGATAGGGAGCAAGTGCAGTGGGCCCTTAGTACGTTCAAGCACGAGACGGGTCTGGGGGTCGACTGTATGAATCCTCGAAGCTGGCTTTTACTTCCTGTTGAATACGTTGATCGGTTGATTGACCTGCTTCTGCTTTGGGAAAGGAGCCCCAAGTTGCCCGATAAGTATGCCACCCTCATCGTCTTCCAGGGTAAACCTGACGGTGCTGGATTGCGCCCGCTGGCTCTTATTGTTTCGGTTCTCAGGGTCTGGGCTAGAGTACGTCAGCAAGTGGTCAGAGCTTGGGAGCGAGCGCACGCTGCTCAGTTCTTCTGGGGTGGGATGGACAAGGAATGCGACAGGGCGGGGTGGAATCATGCGATGATGTGTGACTTTGCACGGGTAAAACGTTTCCACACTGGGACCCTGTTTACTGATCTGGACAAGTTTTACGAGAGAGTTGCCCCGTCCATTCTTTTTGAGGAGGCTAAGGCTACTGGTCTCAGCCTCCGCCTTACGCGTGCTGCTATTCAGTTGTATGTTGGTGCTGGAGCTCTCACGTTCCAGGGAACTATCTCGGACATTGTGCATGCGACGGGCTCGATTTTGGCAGGATGCAGCTGGGCCACATCTTTTTGCACGTGTGGTGCTGTATAGGCTTCTCTCTGCAGTCACGGCGGCCTACCCTTCCCTCGTGATCAGGAGTGTGATCGATGATGTATCCGTGCAGTCCATTGGTACGGTGAGGTTTGTGGGGGAGCAGCTGGGAGGAGCTGGAGTGATGCTTAAGGAAGGGTTTGAGAAACTTAAGCTTGTCCTCTCGGGGAAAAAGACCAAATACATATCATCGTGCAAGGAATTATATGTGGTGCTCAGTGGTATGTGGGGTCAGTATGGTTTCAAGTCTCAGGTTGCTGTCCGTTCGTTGGGGTGTGACGCAGTGGCGAGACGCCTACGGCGAAACCCTACCGCACGCGCTCGGCTTTTGAAGGCATCTAGGCGTTCCAGAAGACTGCTGAGATTGAAGAATGCAGGTGCTTCTGTCGGCAGCCTTCAGCGTGCTGGACCCCAAGCTGCAGGGCTCTGGGGATCTGCTGTGGCAGGGCTTTGCCCTAAGCAGTTGCACGCAATGAGGCTTGCGGCAGCACGCAGCCTGACCAAGGAAAAGTCGGGCCCCCCCATGTCGTTCAGGCTCAGGATGCACCCAATTGGAGCCCGCATGGACCCATATGGTTTTTACCATACAAATGTGGTTTTACAGTGGTGTAGGGCGATCTGGGATGGTTCTCCTGGGCTGGATGTTATGCAGTTGGTATTTAAGAAAGCTGTGGACGACCTCTGGCAGGTCAAGAGACCCTGTAATATTTGTACCAGTCCAGCACACGTATATTTGCTCACGCTGCGAGAGTTAGGCTGGACGCCTACCTCAGCAAGACAGGTCTCAACTGCTCAAGGTGAAGTGGTTGGCCTGCTGTCTCTATCGCCTGTGATGGTTGGCAGTCTTGCGCAGCGTGATGCAGGACACTGGGCGGACAAACGTGCTCTCCTTCTCAGGCCTGAGCTCAACGGGGTCTGGTGTAGGCCTGTTCTGTGGGAAGGGGCCAGAGACCTCCTGAAGATTGGGAGTGAGCATGTCTGGGGGCAACACCACCAAGCGTGTATGAAGAACACGTTCGCTCTGGGTACCTGGACTCAGGCTCGCCTTAAGGACCGCG